AACCACAGGTAATAATAAACACAATGCCAATTTATTTGTCTCACAATCTGATACATTTGGTTTTGGGTTTTTTGCTTGTTTTTCACAGGTACATTATGATAAAGATGATGTTTCAATAAAGTATGAAAGCACTGGAGGCTCTGGTGTTTCTGTCAGATACCACTGATCCACAACATCAGCTCAGCAGAAAAAAACTGCTGTTGTATTATCAGTATAATCTTATCTAGTTTAATAGATTTAATCCTATTGTTACGGCTCTGGCCATCTTTTGAATCACAGTGGCTGGATTTTGCTGGCAGCTGCTGATTGGTTCCATCATCAAGTGGCTGTTTTAAAAATCCTCTCCAGCAGTCTCCCCGGCAGTAGCTGACAGCAGCAGCAGGCCCGTCCTTGGCCTCCAAACCATCTATGACAGATCTGGGTGTGTGATTTCAGAGAACTGCCAAGTTTTGTATTTAGTGTGTTGATACTTTGACTTTTAACTAAGCACTGAAGCAGAAAGAGAGAACTGCCTTATTATTTTCTATCATTTTTTTCCCTTGTTTATTCAATTAGCGAGTTGGGGGTAGCGCTCGGCTTTTGTTTGTTTTAGATTTCTAAATGACCGTTATGGGTTTTGTAGCATGAGTTTATTGACCGTTAAATACCATTAAATCTGTATCAGTTTCTTCCTTCTTATTGCTTACAATAATGTCATCTGGAGATAAAATGTTTTTCTATTCATTTGTTATCTGCCCACAACTAGTTTTGCTCTAAATGAATGCCTGGCTCATTAGGTGTTTGTCTGGTCTCTAGATTTATTTGTCTTTTTTCATTTCCTATTTTATTTTGGTTAGTTTTCTTTCATTTCTTGGTAGCTTTACTAACACCTTTGCCAACTCTGCCGTGATTGCCTTGAGCTGGGTGTATTTACCTTCACCGGTTTCTGCCTCCCAATTTGTGTCTTGTCTTCCCTTTGCCCTTTTTAGTTTACTGCCTTTGCTGTGATAGTTTCCCTAACTAATCTTATCTTCCTTGCGTCAAGCTGGATTTTGATTTTGGGTGTCCTGTTTTTACTGTTCTTATTTTGTATTTAGCCAAAAGAAAAAAATCCACTGTGTAACTTGAATAATACCGACAGGCCTGTGACTGAAACATGGTTATCACAAATAAGGTGTTCGTTGATATATTTGTTGAATTTAATTTGCTGAACTCTAGGGTTTTAAACACTAGAGCATATTGATGAGCATATTAATATATTATATATAACATATTAATGAGCATACTTATTTACCAATTTCACAGATTATTGTTAAATGCTACTGCTGATAACCCCTGAACCACAGCCTCTATTCTCACCACTTACCGTTTTCTGTCAGAAACCAAGAGTGTCGCTACGAACCCAAAACATTTGGGGCCTTACCTTCCCTTAATTTTTTTAGATTTTCACTTGTAACAGCAGATTCTTAAAAAACAGTAAAATGAGCACACCACATTGTAACGAACACACTTCCTCTCGACCTCATCAGGGGGAAATTACTTAAGATTAACGGTGAGGAACTGTTGGGTTTCACTCCAATAGCATTATCTGCTATATTTCCTGTACCTGCAGTTGTAAAATCAATTCATCAATTCATTGAGTCTGACACATTAACTGTCATGCACCTTCTGATTTAAAATATTTAAAAAAGGGGAGCTGCATTATTCCAAAAAATATCTCACATTCGACTTCTTTATTCATTATTTTTTTTTCAATGTCAAACACATCAATGTCACAAATCAACTGTGAGAATGACAAAAATATGAACCTGCCAAGTCTTCATATAAATTTCCTTTAGAAAAAATGTTTCAGAAAAGCTGATTTACTCCAGCTGTGTAACATTATCATCAACATAAATGAGAGACGACTAAAATTTGCTAAATTTGGTGGTGAAACATGACAAATGACAGGAAGTACAACCGTCCTGAAGGGTCATCAGTTCAGAGACTGTGACAGTTGAACTGAGACAAGAACGAAGTGAGACAGAGAAGCAGAATGGATGAATTCAGATGGATTCAAATGTTTTTATGGTCTGATGCTGATGATTCAGATTGTAGGGTAAGGATAAGGAAACATTTTTATAGCAGTGAAATAATAATCGTATCAATATTATTACAATCATTACCAATAACATGAATAGCAGCTGAGCATGATCTGCTTGTTTCAGGGAAGCATGTTTATAAAGTTGTTTCTAAATTGATTTTCACTCTTATTGTAAAAAGTGCTGTATTCTAATGTTTTTTATTGGTTTTCTTCAATGAAGATTGTTGATGAGTCATTCAGCTCGTCTAAATGTGATGACAGAATAACTGTGATGGTACTAAATGTTTTTTTATTTCAAGAAACTAACAGCACAGCTGATCAACCTCGACAGATCGGTGAAAAGGCCACAACTAAACCAGACAGATTGATTATTGAGGTAAATGTTCTCTTCTCTGTTATAAAGTATTACCTATTTACTGAGCAGGATACAACACAGTGAAGTGTGAGGTGACTGATACAGACACAGGAAGAGTGCAGCCATTTACCTTCAGCCCTCAGCCCTCAGGTGAGGAAACAGGTGAGCTCACGATCAACTGTTTAAGATGACCTCAAATATTAGTTTGATAGATTTTACATTTTTAAGATCTTTTTTCATTAACAACTTGTGAAATAATGACACACTTTTTGGTTTGGTTTTGTCATTTATTCAGCTGAAGCAAACACAACAAAGGAACCAGGAGAAAAACTGAAAGCAGCACAAAATCAGAACCAAACACAATCAGCAATCCTTCAAATCACGTAAGATTATGATGATTAAGCAGGAAAAACACGTTTTCTTTTAGAGTTTTTAAGGAGAGTTCATACTTTAGTTTACATCTTTTTTCCTAATGAATATTATTTACATTTTGATGACAGAAAATCACTTACCTATCCTATAGGAAACATAAGATGTAACATTTGATATGATGGGTGTGGTTTTTGGCAGGAAACATTGTTCACTTGAGTATCATGTGTTAAATGGTGTGAAACGTTTTTCAAACATTAACATGCAAAAATGTTTCAAATTTGTTTTGTCTGCTTTATCGCAGCTATTTCGTGGTACATCAATGGAGCTATTGGTTTGGTCGCACTGCTGATAACAGCTGTGTGTCTCATCATAAGGAAAAGAATGAAAGGTGAGAACATTTACAGATACAACATTTGTAAGTTGTTCTATGAATGTTAGAGTTGACTGTTTTTGTCTTTCCAGGAAACAAAATGCAGAAGAATGAAAATCCTGTGAGTTTTGAAACATATAATTAAATATTCCTATATCTGCCACTAAAAAGACAATTAAATAAACCGCTCATCTTTGAGGGAGTGTTAACAAGAACTAAACTGCCTTCATAGAAATGCTTTTCCACCAGATGTAACCGCACTATTGTCTGTTTTTCAGGGACTGAGTTCAAACCCTGCAGAGACTCAAACCAATCAGAACTCGGTGAGATCACCCACTACACCTAGAGTTAAAAACACTTCTTCTTATTCTCTAAAAAATTGTAAATGCATGACACTAACTGAAAAAGCATCCAAAAGATAAGAAAGTTAGGCCAAAAATAAAATCAGTAGACCACACCATGAATCGTAAAACCTGAAGTAAGAGGTCAAAACACAAATGCAATATCTTGAGACACCATTTCTGAGAAATTAAAGTGATGAATGAAGAGTTGTTTATGTTGCATTACAGTGAGACATATTTTCAAGGATAGCTGTTGCAAAGTAGGATCCAAGTGCAGAACTCAAATCCATGTTAAACTTAAAAAGCAGCTTTATTGCTGACCTTAGCAGGCCAAAATGCAAAACACAAAATAATTCAGGCAACACTAAAAATCTGGAAGTCACAAACTAGCCTCTAAGGAACATAGAACATAACAAAGAACAGAAGCAAACTGGGGCTTTAAATACACATGAGGAGATTAGGCCATAGTGGAGACTAGGAACTCAGTTGTACGGTGGCCCTGAGAGGCCACTGCAACTTAAGAAACACCAGCAATAAGAAAAATGCTGCAAAAGCACACAAAACACAACAAAAAGAGGAAAAACGACAACGGATATAGGAAAAAAACAGATTTCCAAAGCACAACGTGTTTCTGGGGAGACAATAACCCGACGGACCAGTTGCAGGAACCAAAATATGCTAAGAATTGCGCTGGGAGACACTTAAAGAAGTGGAGGATTTATCGGTTTTGTGAGGAAAGAAAAGATGAGTGGTATATGTGTTAGCCTAACTATTAGCCTAAAAATCCATCCTCAGTATTATATGAATCATGATAAAACACACCTAGCATGTTTTGCGTCCCTGCAACTGGTCCGTCGGGTTATTGTCTCCCCAGAAACACTTCCCTTTGCTTTTGGAAATCTGTTTTTTCCTATTTCTGTTTTCGTTTTTCCTATTTACGTTTTTTTTCCTATGTCTGTTACCATTTTTCTTATTTCTATTTTGTTTTGTGTGTTTTGCAGTGTTTTTTTTTATTGGTAAATGGACTGATTCTTATATAGCAATTTTCTACTCTCCCAGTGCTTTGACTACTGTAGGGGCACTGTAGGGGTGGCTGTAGCTCAGGTGGCAGAGCAGGTCAGCCACTAATCAGAAGGACGGTGGTTCAATCCCAGGCTGCCTCCTGGCTGCATGCCAAATATCCTTGGGCAAGATACTAACCCATGTTTGCCTACTGGTGGTGGTCAGAGGGCCCGGTGGCGCCAGTGTCCGGCAGCCTCGCCTCTGTCAGTGCGCCCCAGGGCAGCTGTGGCTACAATGTAGCTTGCCATCGCCAGGTGGTTGGTGAATGGGTGAATGACTGAATGTAGTGTGAAGCGCTTTGGGTCCTTAGGGACTAGAAAAGCGCTATACAAATGCAGGCCATTTAAACAACATGCCTCATTCACCCATTCATACAAGCACTTCTAAAGGTATAGGTCAATTGAAAAATCTAAATTGCCCATAGGTGTGAATGCAGGAGTGAATGTGAGCGCGAATGGTTGTCTGTCTCTGTGTGTTGGCCCTGCGACAGACTGGCGACCTGTCCAGGGTGAACCCCACCTCTCGCCTTATGACAGCTGGGATAGGCTCCAGCACCCCCGCGACACTAAAAAGGATAAGTGGATGGATGGATATTACTGAGGAGTCAGCATGTTTTTCTCTTCATTGTTTAGGTGGATCCTGAAGTTTCCTATGTCACCATCAGCAACACCTAGAAAACCAAGATAAGGTGTTTTGTTTAGTGATATGTTTGTTTGTTTGTTATTATTTTATCTATATATCAGACAGCTTTTTCAGATTCGTGTTGATGATGAAATGATGCAGTGACTTCTGCTCTACTGTCAATTTTAAAATAACATAGTTCAAGCTGTTGAAAAAAAAGAATTTGCATTTAATGGAAAGACAATTCTTGAATATTGTTTATGGGTCCAACAGATTTAAAGAAACACCAGTTTTTGGGACAGTGCCCAGCTACATTATAATACACTTATTTTCCTTTTTTTAAATGAAAATATAATTGGTACCAGGAGTTCTTTGCTATGGATATGAGCAGTTGCTCTAAGAGAAGGCTGGATAGAAAACATACAACTAAAACTATTGCTATTGCTAGACTATTGAACAGCACACAGGATTCAGTGCCATGGTCATAGAGTTTTGAGTTGTATTTGAGTTTCAAATTTGTGTTCTGAAGATCTTCCTTAGCTTCTATTTTTATTATTTATTACCTGTTTTTACTGTTCATCTTATTTTGAATTTTTCCTCTGTCAAAAGAAAAGAAATCCAAAGTACTGAAAGGAATCTATGCTCTTTATTTTGTTCTCATTTTTATGATGATGGGTAGGTTGACAGTTGAGGTCAGGCAGGAGTCTCTGGTCTATTATGTTTGTGGACAACATTAAGAAACAGGTGAAAGACGGCCTGTAGCGGTGGAGGAGTGTTCTGGAGAGAAGTTGTGTGAATGAGAGGGAGACAGGTTTAACAGAGATGCTTCAGGGAGTAGAGGTAATATAGGTGGAGAAATTCAAATACCTGAGGTCAATGAGCCAAAGCAACATTTATGATGTTATTATCATTGTGTAACCACATCATTTCTTTAGGGATTAATACATTCTTTCTGAATTTCCACTGTAACACCGCGGTTGTTATTTTATTATTAATCTGATAGGAAGATGGTGTATTTCTAAGGATCTTAATCCTCTCTTATAATATGACTGTTGTTAAATGCCTTTAATGCCTTTATAGTTTGTGTAAGTGAAATATGTGCAGTGTCAAAAGTCCAGTATGAGTTTTATAACATGTCTTTCATGATGATTAAATAGAATCTGAATCAATATCTTGAATATTCTTTTTTATAGTAATGTAATCTGGAAAATATGCATTTCTATTAATTTGGTGAAATTCTATTTTTGCAGAACAAATTTTAAACTCTCACAGTTTATGTCTGAGCACTTTTTTGTGTATTATTCCTTTTGTCCGCCAGAGGTCCTCAGTTTCCAGTATTTGCACAGTCACCTGTTAGAGACTTAGAGACTTAGACTTAGAGCTTTTTATTGTCATTGTGCAGTTTCTTGCACAGCGAAATTGGGTAGCTGAACCACAAAGGTGCTAAAGTAAGAAGAGAAACCAATATACAACGAAGGCGGAAAATAAATAAATAATTAAATAAATAGAATAAAATAAAAAACAGTGTATATGTATACATATGTGAGTGGAACTATATACATGGTGTATGTGTAGGAAACATTGAAACAGACTGGGACCAAAATAATTGCACATGAGCCAAAAATATTGCACAGAACATGGAAAGACTGAGATATTGCACATAGATGATCAACAGCAGTGTCAGGGTGGATGTGTTGGGGAAGTCTTTACACACTCTTAGTTTGCATTAAGAGTTCTGACAGCCCACGGGAAAAGTTGTTCTTTAGTCTGTTGGTTTTGCACCTGATGGATCTGAGCCTTTTTCCAGAGGGCAGGATGTTGAAGAGGTGGTGGTTAGGATGGAGGTGGTCCTTTATAATTGCCCTGGCTCTGGAGAGACATCTTGAGCTGGCAATTAAGTCCAGGGAGGGGAGTGGACAGCCGATCACCTTCTCTGCAGTTCTGATGACCCTCTGTAGTCTCTTTTGTCAGCTGTTGTGCAACCAGCGTACCACACAGGGATGGCGTGCACCAGCACACTCTCTATAGTGGCACGGTAGAAGGACACTAGGAGGTCAGTCTGCAGCCTGTTCCATCTCAGCACCCTCAAGAAATGGAGGCGCTGCTGGGCTTTCTTCACTAGAGCTGATGTGTTTGTGGACTGTGTGATTCTTACTCTGAATCTGAATAAGTACGCGGGACCACTGTGTGCGGTAAGACCATCTCTTTTCTTCCTGTATTACCATCTACCGCATGCATTGCCAGTGCGTAACACGTAATTACACAATCAAACAGTGAACACATACTGCCCATACAACAAATGTACCAGAGACAATTATGAATACACCACATCTCCCTTTTAAACCAAAAACAGAATATTCTTTTCTCAGGACAGAACTCTCTTTTTTCAAAGCCATACAAGAACATCTGGCAAACAATCTGCATTACATTTTTAACCTTTTGTTTTTGTTTTCTTGTTCTTTTCTTTTCTTAACAACTCTTTTTAGCTTTATTTTACTGTGCTCTACAAAACCCTTATAACACAGTTACATAACAACACCTTTCTTTTTTTTCTTACAGATCTAACTTTTTAGGTTTAACTATTGGCCTCCCTGACTTGGTTCTGACCACATCAGTGTTAACAGGTGTAGCAGGGATCACACTGGGTGTTTGAGGCTTCTGCAACACAGGCACATTAGCAGGTTCATGCACAGGTGAACTTAAAGGAATCAATGCACACGATTACGCTCACAGTCCCTTGTGGTAACTCCACTGTGTATGATCGGGGTGTAGAGTGATTTTGGATAACAGTGCCTGTAGTTTTGACATCAGTCACCCAAACTTGCTCTCCTGGGGACAGGCTGCATAAAGGTTTTGCGTGGTGGCGCCTGTTGAAGTTTGCCATGTCCATCATCCTCTTCTCCCTTTCCTTTCGAGCGAGCAGTGCGTTGTCCGGCAGTGTGGGCTCCAGCTGCGATGGAAGCATCGGCAGTGTGGTTCGCAGACGTCTGCCCATTAAAAGCTCTGCAGGGCTGTATCCGGACTGCAGTGGTGTAGCTCTATAGGCAAGAAGAGCTAGATAAGGATCAGCTGCTTTTTTCAGAAGATTTTTTACAGTCTGCACAGCACGTTCTGCTTCTCCATTACTTTGCGGAAACTTGGGACTGCTTGTGATGTGTTTGAAGCCGTATGCTGCTGCAAAGTCTGTAAAGATTTGACCTGAATACTGTGGCCCATTATCAGACATGAGGACCTCTGGGATGCCGTGACGGGCAAAGAAAGATTTCAGGTGAGTAATGACATCGTTTGATTTTGTCCTGTTTAACAAAGCAATCTCAACAAATCTAGAGTGATAGTCAACAGCGAGAAGGTAAGTTTTCCCTCCCAGCTCGAAAAGATCTGTGCCCACTCTCTGCCATGGGTGGGCAGGGTATTCTGTTGGCATGAGTGGCTCACTGTTATTGTGTCTTTCTTGAATACACGTTTTGCACTTGAGCACCATCTCAGAGATTTGTTGACTCAGCCCGGGCCACCACACTGTTTGGCGTGCACGAGCTTTACATTTTACAACACCTTGATGTCCTTCGTGTAGTTTTTCCAGCACCTCGTTTCTCATTGCTGAAGGAATGACAAGCCGTGTGTCTTTTAACAAAAGGCCGTCTTCAACAGTGAGCGTGGCTCGGTCAGGCCAGTAATTTCGCAGTAAAGGCTCTTGTTTTGCATGTTCTGGCCAGCCTTCGGTGCACATGTCCATGACGCGAGCACACACACTGTCGCTTTTCAGTTGTTCCTTCAGTGTTTGCATATATGATGAACTGACAGGCATGTTTGCTACAATACTGTCGACATATATGTCTGTGCTTTCCATTAGCTCTTTGTCTGACAGGTTCATTGGTTTTTTCAGAGGTGAGCAGGACAAAGTATCTGCTGTCCAGAGCGATTTCCCTGGGGCGTACTGCACAGTGTACGAGTAACGCATGAGTCTCATTCTGAATCGCTGGATCCTGGGTGGCAAGAGATCCAGAGCTTGTCCTCCCAGTAAGGAAACGAGAGGTTTGTGGTCCGTTTCAAGACAAAAATGTTTACCAATCAGGAAATCACGAAAACGCTCACACGCCCATGTAGATGCCAGTGCCTCTTTTTCCACTTGTGCGTATCGTTGTTCTGTAGGAGAAAGGGACCTCGATGCATACACCACTGGTCGCCATCCTTCTTCCCACAGCTGCAAAAGAACACCTCCGAGACCATAGGATGAAGCATCTGCTGATACTTTAATGTCTCTGTTGGGGTCATACATTGCGAGCACTGGGGTGAGGTCAGGGCATCTCGTAATGTTTTGAAAGCTCTCACTTGGTCAGTTCCCCAATACCATGCGTTCTTTTTGGAAAGAAGATCTCGCAGGGCTTTGTCTTTTTCAGCTAAATGGGGGATGAACTTGCCCACTTGATTCACCATGCCCAGAAAACTGCGCAACTCTGACACATTAGTTGGCTCTGTCATTTCTGTAATTGCCTCCGTTTTCTTCGGGTCAGGACTGATTCCTGTATCCGCTATGATGTGACCCAAGAAAGCAACCTTGCTCTGGGAGAGCTCGCATTTTTCAACATTCAGCGTTATGCCTGCTTTTTCCAGTCTTTGCAGTGTAGCATGGAGACGGGAATCGTGCTCCTGATGGTTACGTCCCCACACCAACACATCGTCAATGTGACACACCACTCCTTCGAGACCCTCGATGACCTCCGTCATCATGCGCTGAAAGTGTTCGGGCGCTGAGTTGATCCCAAACGGTAGGCGGTTAAAGTGGAACCGCCCAAAGGGTGTGATGAAGGTGGTGAGTTTGGCAGACTCATCGGACAGGGGAATCTGCCAGAAGCCCATGTTGGCATCCAGTTTGCTAAACACTTTGGCTCCTGCGAGCATTCCGAGACTTTGTTCAACCGATGGCAGCACATATTTTTCCCTGCACACATACTCATTTAGTCCGGTAAAGTCTACGCAAAGTCTTAGCCTAGGGCTGTTTTTCTTTGGAACAACAACCATGCCGGCACACCAATCCGTTGGTTCCTCAACTCGGGTAATGACACCAAGCTCTTCCATTCGTTGGAGTTCCTCTTTTACCCTTCCCATCAGAGGCAGAGGA